TTCAGGTGAAATCACTATAAAAAGGCTGTAATAATACAAAATGTTCCGATTGTATGCTTGAATGTTACCTCAGAGGCTGGCTTGTAAACAATGCCACTGGCAGAACAAGTGAGGCTGGCTCAGGCCGCATGGACGTGTCTCGGACGAATCGCGTTGAGCAAATTTTTTAGCACTATGCGAGGCAAAATTTTTCCGATAAAATGTATCGCTATGCGGATTTAACACTATGCGATGCCAACGTTATGCGGGGGTCCACTGTATTAGTGCAGGTATTGTGTTGCATGCAACAGGTGGATTTATGTACATTGTGCATAATATTGGTCTCACAGGGCACAAAAGTTACTGGAAAATGTAAAAAAATTAGAAAACAGTGCAAAATAATACAGTAGGAAAATTTGGAGCTTGTGGCAATCATCAACATTTCCATCAGCAGGTCATCAATCATCAACTGGACACTTTTATGTCTTGGCAAGTACTGAGGGGAATTTTTTTTTATTGCCATCAGAAAAATGTCCTTTTTAAATAGATTATTTTTTTTTTTTTTAAATTTTGACACAGCCATTTTAATTTTGGGGCTTTGGGCAGTGAAAGGGTTGACCTGCCTCCCATACTATCAGTCCTCTGTGCATGTGCATCCCGTACTATACTCAGTTGTTTGTTAGTGAATGGATTTTTATCTTATCATCAACCCATATCAGTGATGCTGGAGGTGCCATAAAAGAATAAATATTTTAAACTGAAAAGATTGAGTTTGAAATTCGATAGTCACTGGCAGCATATTGGCTCTGAAGGTGGGTGTGGAGCAGTTGATGATGCCTTAAGGTCAGCCATAGAAAGTACTGAAGGGTAAAACAGACCAGAGATTCATTACAGTATACCTGATCACCCCAGTACAACTATCTAATGACAACTCTGCATTAACATCAGTCGAAGACCTCGACTATCTACCTCAACTCAGGATCCACAACCATCCACCTCAGTCTCGTAGGGCAAAGTCATCCCTCTCCTTGCCTTTCAAGATCACTGACACACGCTAACAACCAAAATTTTAAGTACGGCAAAATTAATTTATGCAATTTTTTTTTAGCTACAAGTAATGCGTTTTAATTATGTACACTGCTATATCTAACTACAGTTACACAACTTTTTATAGAATTACAAGCCCTAAAATAAAATGTTTGAAATTTTGGGGGGTTGCAAAGACTGTATCCCTTTTTTTCCCCTCATGCTCTTCAGTTCATTTTACACATTTTTGTTTTTTTATTTACACTATTTTCAGGAACTTAATTTTCATGTTAGACATGGGTCATCTGTGCATCTTCATTCAATAACTTTGATTACCTGTAAAAAAAAAATTGGAAAAAAAAACCCAACACAGTCAGCACAGTTCTTTATTGTGAGCAATTGCAATATCATTTATTTTATTTTTTTTAAGCTTGATTCACAGCCCAGAAATTGAAAACCAACTATTGAATTTTGTTCAGGTTGCACTCGTTCAATTTCTCAAGCCCAGATCTCTCTTAGTTGTTCTTTACATTCTAACCTATAAGTGTGAAAAATAACCAAGACTAGTTAACTATTTAAAGATATATTACAAGAAGACAAGGTGAAATAAAATTATTCCTTGATTTTAAAGCCTATTTTAATCAGAAATATGTATACAGTGGTCCCTCAATAATCGTCCGGCCTGAAAGTCGTCCATTTCAGAAATAGTCCCGTTATTTCATCTAAACATTGGCTCGCAAATGGTCCGTTAACTCGCTAATCGCCTTTTGTCCTGGACGCGTGCTCACGGCTCTGAGCCGTTCCCAGCCAGTGTGCCATTGTTTACCAGTGAGCAACGGTCCCCTCATGTGTTCATACGAAATATTTCATAATATTCCATTCATATTAGTGCTTGCAAGTGCTTAATAAGCTACCATGGGTCCAAAGAAAGCTCCTAGTGCCAAACCTTTGGTAAAGAAGGTGAGAAATACGATTGAATTTAAGAAAAACATCATTGAACAATATGAAAGGAGCAAGAGTTTCAGCAGGAAGAGCAACAGATCGCAGCTCAGAATCTTGCTGCAGAGGAGGAAGAGAGATGGAAGAAGGTGCCTTCTTCAGAAATTAAGGAGATTTTTGAAATGTGGGGTAGGATGGAAAGATTTATGGAGAAACATCACCCTGAGAAGGATGTTGCAAGCCATATCGGGAACTTGTACAGTGACAGAGTCTTGGCCCATTTTAAGGGAAGTTTTAAAGAGACACCAGAAACAGAGCTCTCTGGACAGTTTTTTTGTGAGACAGGACTCCAGTGACTCTCAAGCTGGTCCTAGTGGCATTAAGAAACAGAGAAGAGAAGTAACCCTAGAAAAGCACTTGGTACCTGAGGTGTTGATGGAAGGGGATTCCCCTTTCAAACAGTAATTCAATGTCTCTCCTCCTCCAGTCTTCCATACAGTAAGAAGAATTGCCAATAAAGGCAAGTGTTATGCTGTTAATGTTTCATTCATCAAGTGCCATTGTATTATTTATGTACGACATCTATATTTCATGTAAAAAAATTGTTTGTTTTAATACTTCTGGGTGTCAGGAACGGATTAATTGTATTTACATTACGTATTTCTTTTGGGGAAAATTGATTCGAAAATCGTCTATTTCGATAATAGTCCCACTTCCAGGAACGGATTATGCACGATAATTGAGGGACCACTGTATCTGTCTGAGGAAGGTTTTAATGTGCTAGGTACACTGGAATATGCAAAATATTAGTAGGCATATGGTTGTGATTTGTCTCTAAGAATTTCCCACAGCCTTTGTTAATGGGTATTATCCTAGTTCTTCAGAATGTCTAGGAAGGTTTGTTCCTCAAGTGATATGCTGAAATGTATTGCAGTAGCTAGAGATAATACTGGTGTGGCTTTTTTTTTAGGAGGGACATCTGAACTGTAGTACTGGCATTCTTCTCGCAAGACAGTGATAGAGTGAATGAAGGTGAAAGTGTTTCTTCTTTTTTGGGGTCGCTCTACCCCTGTGGGAGACAGCCAGTGTACTACAAAATGTAGCTATTTCATCGTAGGTAATAGGTTAGTAGATAGCAACCGCCCAGGGAGGTACTACCATCCTACCAAGTAAATGTAAATTCTTCTTTCTTTCAACACACCGGCCGTATCCCACCAAGGCGGGGTGGCCCAAAAGGAAAAACGAAAGTTTCTCCTTTTACATTTAGTAATATATACAGGAGAAGAGGTTACTAGCCCCTTGCTCCCGGCATTTTAGTTGCCTCTTACAACACGCATGGCTTACGGAGGAAGAATTCTGTTCCACTTCCCCATGGAGATAAGAGGAAATAAACAAGAATAAGAACTAGAAAGAAAATAGAAGAAAACCCAGAGGGGTGTGTATATATGTGCTTGTACATGTATGTGTAGTGTGACCTAAGTGTAAGTAGAAGTAGCAAGACGTACCTGAAATCTTGCATGTTCATGAGACAGAAAAAAGGACACCAGCAATCCTACCATCATGTAAAACAATTACAGGCTTTCGTTTTACACTCACTTGGCAGGACGGTAGTACCTCCCTGGGCTACCGTCCTGCCAAGTGAGTGTAAAACGAAAGCCTGTAATTGTTTTACATGATGGTAGGATTGCTGGTGTCCTTTTTTCTGTCTCATGAACATGCAAGAATTTAGGTATGTCTTGCTATTTCTCCTTACACTTAGCTCACACTACACACACATGTACAAATATGTATATATATATATTTATATATATATACACATCCCTCTGGGTTTCTTTTTATTTTCTTACTACTTCTTATTCTTGTTTATTTCCTTTTATCTCAATGGGGAAGTGGAACAGAATTCTTCCTCCGTAAGCCATGCGTGTTGTAAGAGGCAACCAAAAAGGCCAGGGGCAAGGGGCTAGTAACCCCTTCTCCTGTATATATTACTAAATGTAAAAGGAGAAACTTTCGTTTTTCCTTTTGGGCCACCCTGCCTTGGTGGGATACGGCCGGTGTGTTGAAAGAAGAATATATTTATATATATGTATACACACCCCTCTGGGTTTCTTTTTATTTTCTTACTACTTCTTATTCTTGTTTATTTCCTTTTATCTCAATGGGGAAGTGGAACAGAATTCTTCCTCCGTAAGCCATGTGTGTTGTAAGAGGCGACTAAAATGCCGGGAGCAAGGGGCTAGTAACCCCTCTCCTGTATACGTTACTAAATTTAGAAAGAGAAACTTTTGTTTTTCTTTTTGGGCCACCCTGCCTCGGTGGGAAACGGCCGATTTGTTAAAAAAAAAAAAAAAAAAAAACATGCAAGATTTTGGATATGTTTTGCTACTTCTTTCACTTAGGTCACACTACATATGCATGTACAAGTATATACTATATACACACACCTCTGGGGTTTTCTTTTTTCTTACTGGTTCTTGTTCTTGTTTATTTCCTCTTATCTTCAAGTGGAGGTGGAGCAGAATTCTTCCTCTGTAAGCCATGCATGTCGTAAGAGGCGACTAAAATGCCAGGAGCAAGGGGCTAGTAACCCCTTCTCCTTTACACATTATTAAATTTATAAAGAGAAACTTCAGTTTTTCTTTTTGGGCCACCCTGCCTCGGTGGGATACGGCTGGTTTGTTGAAAGAAGAAGCTGTTTCATTTGTGTTATTAACTGCATTTCAAGTGATTCTGTTTTTTGTAATTATTTCTGAGGCCGTAGGAGCTATGTAAAAGAAATTAGGGTAATTTTAAGGCAGATAGCTACTGATGTTGGTATACACCTCTGGAATGTTGTTTCCTAGATTAGTTTCTACTGTAGAAGTCATTATACTTGTTCATTGTATCAGTAGTTATGAGAAAATGTTCACTTGCTTTGGTGAGGATTATTTGTTTGTGATATATGTTTTATGATACAGTACTTAATGAGTTTGTTTAGTGTTGTGTAGGTATTTGTCAAGAATATATAACCTACTATATTTCAACTTGGTAAAATTAATTTCTAATATTTCTTGTAGCACATACCATTGATAAATACTGTAGTAAGAAGGAGGAAGACCAAGACTTGGATTTGGCATCAAGAGTGAAGAGGCGACGCCTGACTAATGAAGAGAAAGAAAAAAACAAGATCCTGTTAAATGAGCAGTAAGTAAACTAAGTAAAAAATGAAATGTTTAAAAGAAATCCTGTTTTCTGGAGGGAAACAATCCACATATAATTATTCTTTATTCTATTCTTCAACTGTAACCCTCTAAGGTATGGTTAATCACTCCCGCCCCTCCCCTTTATCACCACCACCAAAAAAAAAAAAAGTTACCATCATTCCACAACACATAGATGGCCCACACATAGGAAAGAGAAGCTCACGATGATGTTTCAGTCCGACTTGGACCGTATACGAAGTCACACTAACACGAGAAAGAGAGGGAGCCAGTATATTTAGGTGAGGAGGGGGACAGGGATGAGACTAAGAGAGGAAGGAAAAAAAGTGGTAAGTCTGGTAGTGGAAGAAGTAGTTGTAGTAGAAAGTAGGGAGAGTAGTTTTAGTTGCATAAGAGAGAAAGGAGAGTGAAGGGTGAAGGGAAGCAATAGTAGTAGTAGTAGTAGCAGCAGCAGCAACAGCAGAACTAGTAGTAATGGAGTGATAGTCACAGTAGTAGTAGAAGTGGGGTCAGTCTACGGGCAAGAGAAAGGAGCACTGCAGGAGAGCTAAGGGTCCACAAAGGTTAGGACAAAAAACACAAGGGAAGGGGAGGAAACAGAAAAACAGAACACACTAAAGCAGAAGAAAGGAAAAAGAAGGAATAGGAAAGGAGAAGAGGTAGGGGGAGGAACAGAAGAAAGGATCAGGTCAAGTTGCAAGTGTTCTGAAGTTTGGAGCATTTGACAATGTAATGAGAAAGGAAAGCATCTACAGAGACAAAGCCAGGACTAAGATTCATACAAAGAAAGTTGTGTATAAGGGATGCTTCAATAAGACAGTAGCTGGGAAGGCTAGAAGTAGGGCGAACAGTTTTAGCAGAGGACGAGTCAGTAGGATGGCTGTGATCTATAACAGCCATCCTACTGATGCCAGCATCCTACTGGCGTCGGCAAGCCCAACACTGTTTTTTGAGTGTCAGAAAGAGAGAAATTAGTTTCTCCAAAGTATTGAAGAAGACAAGAGGAGCACAAAATAGAGTAGACACCAGGGGCATCTGTAGCAGGAGGAGAGGTATGAACTAGACTACTGTGAAGGGTGTTAGTTTGGTTAAAAGCAAGTTTGATGTCTAAGGAATGGCAAGAGTTGTTGAGATTAGAAAAACGAAATATAGGAAAGGCAGGGAACAGGAAATTTCACAGGAGTAGAGGGTTTGGGAGAGAAGAAAGTCTGCTTAGCATGTGAGAAGGCAGATTTTATTAAATTAGAAGTGTTAGCCAAGATGAGAATGAGTTGCAAAGAGTAGAAATTTCCAATTCAAGGAACTGAGGGGTCACAAATGTAGAGGGCATGGAAAAAAAGAGCAGTGTGAACACTTATCATGACAGTGGGAGCATGGTAAGAAAAATAATAAATGTACTTGCCACTGTGCATAGGCTTGCGATAAACAGAAAAAGAAAAATCCTTTAGCCAAGCAATGGACACATACATCAAGGAAAGGAAGCCAAGAGTTAGATTCCCATTCAGCTTTAAACTTGATGGAAGGAGCAAAATTGTTAAGGACATCGAGAAATGGTTGGGACCAAAGAGCAAAGATGTCATCTGCATAGTGGAGCCAGAGGGATGGGCGCTCACCAACAGTACGAAGAACAGTTTCAAAGTATGTACTCCATTGCTACTACCATTACTATTGCCTCCCTCTCTGTCTCTTGTGCAACTAAAGCTACTCTCCCTATTTTCTACTACTACTACTACCACCAGCACCACCACTACTACTGTTGCTACTACCACTACCAGCCTTACCACTCACTACTTTTTCTTCATCTCGTGGTCCCATCCCTGTCCCCCTTGCCTATAGATACTGGCTCCCTCTGTTTTGTGTTAGTGTGACATTGTAAACGGTCCAAGTCAGACTGAACATCACCGTAAGCTTCTCTCTCCTTTGTGTGGGTTATTTGCATGTTGTTCCAGTCACAGTATTGTGCCATTTTGCTCTTCATCACCATCATTCATTCAGTAGGTGTTGTGCTAAAAGTGCACAGACATCACAATTAAAATGGCAATTTGAACTGCAACATTTCCCACTTCTCTTTCAGTGCATGTGCTGCACTTCCCACCTCCAGGAATCAAGTCTGGCTAACTGGCTTCCCTGAATCCTGTCATAAATCTTACTTGGCTCATACTCCAAGAGCACATTACGCTATAAACCATTTGTTTTCTTAATCATACCAGCTTAACATACTCACATAAACTTGCTAGATGCTCCAGCCCCTTGCACCCAAAACTTTTTTTTTTACCCTCTCTAACCCTTCTTGGATAATCTCTACCCTTCCACCCTGCATTTATACACCCCTCTTGATCATTTTATTCTGCTCCATTCTCTCTTATGGATGTGAAGCAGGGTATTTTAAATGTTGCAATTAGGGGGTTGGAGGTAGTGGAAATGGTACATTTGAAGGCAAGGTGTGGTCTGAATCTTCTGCAGTGAATTTACAACTTAGAGATTAGAAAGTGGGGGGATTATCAAAAGTATTATTCAGAAAGCAGAGGTGTTAAGGTGGTTTGGACATATAGGAAGAATGGAGCAAAGTATGATAATTAGGAGGGCTTACAAATATGTGGTGGAAGGAAGGATACATGGGAACTGTCCCAGGAAGGGTTGTAAGGGAGGTTTTGAGTGTTAAGAACTTGAGCATCCATCAAGCTTGTGCAAGCATAATGGGAGTTAGTGGAGGCAAGTGGTTTTTATGATTTGGCATGCTGTTGGAGTGTGAGCAAGGAAACATTTACGAAGTGATTCAGGTAAACTAGTTAGTTGGACTTGAGTCCTGGAGGTAGGAATGCAATATCTGCACTCTTGGGGACAGATGGGAATGTTACTGGCAAGATGGTGATTGATTGAATGATAGACAGTGAAGGTGTTTCTTCCTTTTTTGGATCACCTTACCTTGTGTTAAAAAAATTGATGTAAAGAAAAAAAATTCCTCCTACTTTCTTATATGCTTTTCTCCCTTTCCACTCTCTATAACCAGATTTTTTCACTTCTCATTCATAAACATTTCTACACTTTTTTTTTTTTTTTTTTTTTTTTTTTCAACAAGTCGGCCGTCTCCCACCGAGGCAGGGTGACCCAAAAAAGAAAGAAAATCCCCAAAAAGAAAATACTTTCATCATCATTCAACACTTTCACCACACTCGCACATTATCACTGTTTTTGCAGAGGTGCTCAGAATACAACAGTCTAGAAGCATACACATATAAAGATACACAACATATCCCTCCAAACTGCCAATATCCCAAACCCCTCCTTTAAAGTGCAGGCATTGTACTTCCCATTTCCAGGACTCAAGTCCGACTATATGAAAATAACCGGTTTCCCTGAATCCCTTCACTAAATTTTTACCCTGCTCACACTCCAACAGATCGTCAGGTCCCCCAAATACCCTTCGTCTCCATTCACTCCTATCTAACACGCTCACGCACGCTTGCTGGAAGTCCAAGCCCCTTACCCACAAAACCTCCTTTACCCCCCCCTCTCCAACCCTTTCGAGGACGACCCCCACCCCGCCTTCCTTCCCCTATAGATTTTATATGCTTTCCATATCATTCTACTTTGGGTCCATTCTCTCTAAAGACCAAACCACCTCAACAACCCCTCTTCTGCCCTCTGACTAATACTTTTATTAACTCCACACCTTCTCCCCAATTTCCACACTCCGAATTTTCTGCATAATATTTACACCACACATTGCCCTTAAACAGGACATCTCCACTGCCCCAACCGTCTCCTCGCGCTGCATTTACCACCCAAGCTTCACACCCATATAAGAGTGTTGGTAAATACTATACTTTCATACATTCCCTTTTTGCCTCCATAGATAACGTTTTTTTGACTCCACATATACCTCAACGCACCACTCACCTTTTTTCCCCCATCAATTCTATGATTAACCTCATCCTTCATAAATCCATCCGCCGACACGTCAACTCCCAAGTATCTGAAAACATTCACTTCTTCCATACTCCTCCTCCCCAATTTGATATCCAATTTTTCTTTATCTAAATCATTTGACACCCTCATCACCTTACTCTTTTCTATGTTCACTTTCAACTTTCTACCTTTACACACATTCCCAAACTCATCCACTAACCTTTGCAATTTTTCTTTAGAATCTCCCATAAGCACAGTATCATCAGCAAAAAGTAACTGTGTCAATTCCCATTTTGAATTTGATTCCCCATAATTTAATCCCACCCCTCTCCCAAACACCCTAGCATTTACTTCCTTAACAACCCCATCTATAAATATATTAAACAACCATGGTGACATTACACATCCCTGTCTAAGACCTACTTTTACCGGGAAATAGTCTCCCTCTCTTCTACACACCCTAACCTGAGCCTCACTATCTTCATAAAAACTCTTTACAGCATTTAATAACTTACCACCTATTCCATATACTTGCAACATCTGCCACATTGCTCCTCTATCCACTCTATCATATGCCTTTTCTAAATCCATAAATGCAATAAAAACTTCCTACCTTTATCTAAATACTGTTCACATATATGCTTCAATGTAAACACTTGATCTACACATCCCCTACCCACTCTGAAACCTCCTTGCTCATCCGCAATCCTACATTCTGTCTTACCTCTAATTCTTTCAATTATAACCCTACCGTACACTTTTCCTGGTATACTCAGTAAGCTTATTCCTCTATAATTTTTACAGTCTCTTTTGTCCCCTTTCCCTTTATATAAAGGGACTATACATGCTCTCCGCCAATCCCTAGGTACCTTCCCCTCTTTCATACATTTATTGAACAAAAGTACCAACCACTCCAACACTATATCCCCCCCTGCTTTTAACATTTCTGTCATGATCCCATCAGTACCAGCTGCTTTACCCCCTTTCATTTTACGTAATGCCTCACGTACCTCCCCCACACTTACATTCTGCTTTCTTCACTCCTAAAAGATGGTATACCTCCCTGACCAGTGCATGAAATTACTGCCTCTGTTTCTTCCTTAACATTTAAAAGTTCCTCAAAATATTCTCGCCATCTACCTAATACCTCCATCTCCCCATCTACTAACTCCCCTACTCTGTTTTTAACTGACAAATCCATATTTTCCCTTGGCTTTCTTAACTTGTTTAACTCACTCCAAAATTTTTTTCTTATTTTCATTAAAATTTCTTGACAGTGCCTCTCCCACTCTATCATCTGCTCTCCTTTTGCACTCTCTCACCACTCTCTTTACCTTTCTTTTACTCTCCATATATTCTGCTCTTCTTATAACACTTCTGCTTTGTAAAAACCTCTCATAAGCTACCTTTTTCTCTTTTATCACACCCTTTACTTCATCATTCCACCAATCACTCCTCTTTCCTCCTGCACCCACCCTCCTATAACCACAAACTTCTGCCCCACATTCTAATACTGCATTTTAAAACTATTCCAACCCTCTTCAACCCCCCCCTTACTCATCTTTGCACTATCCCACCTTTCTGCCAATAGTCGCTTATATCTCGCCCGAACTTCCTCTCCCTTAGTTTATACACTTTCACCTCCCTCTTACTTGTTGTTGCCACCTTCCTCTTTTTCCCATCTACCTCTTACTCTAACTGTAGCTACAACTAAATAATGATCCGATATATCAGTTGCCCCTCTATAAACATGTACATCCTGGAGCCTACCCATCAACCTTTTATCCACCAATACATAATCTAATAAACTACTTTCATTACGTGCTACATCATACCTTGTATATTTATTTATCCTCTTTTTCATAAAATATGTATTACTTATTACCAAATTTCTTTCTACACATAGCTCAATTAAAGGCTCCCCATTTACATTTACCCCTGGCACCCCAAATTTACCTACTACTCCCTCCATAACATTTTTACCCACTTTAGCATTGAAATCCCCAACCACCATTACTCTCACACTTGATTCAAAACTCCCCACGCATTCACTCAACATTTCCCAAAATCTCTCTCTCTCCTCTACACTTCTTCACTTAATTTCAGTATATTGTACAGTAGCATCATCATGCTTTTTTATGTTACTTATACATGAAGCTAATACATGTATATGTAATTTTGTGTAATGTCTTTATAAGAATTTTTTTTTTATTTTGTAGGAGAATGGAGGAGGAAGAAAAACAGAGACGATTATTTGTAGTCCAAGAGTATGAACGGGTACTGATGCAGAAAGAAATGCTAATTCGTTTGCAGCCCCTGGGATTAGACCGTAATCATGACAGGTACTGGCTCTTCAACAACACAACTCCTGGGCTCTATGTTGAGAAGGGCTGGGTAGATCCAAACACTACCTACCGGATAAAGGTAAAATATTAGTCTCTGTTTATGTACTGTACATTTTGTTGTCCAAGTTACTATATTCTGTATCTCAGGAGGACTTACACATTATGCAAGGATGAGAAAAAGGAAACAAAATATGGGAAAGATACAGAATTAGTAGTTTTCATCGTGCCTACATTCAGGTAAATTGTAAGCTAATAACATTAAAAAATATGTACATTATTGGAATTGATAGCTAGGTACTCATTCTTTGTAAGTTAACGCATACAAGGTTTCAAAAATAGATATGATAAGGCTCAATCGTGTCAGCCCAAGTCATGAGATAAGACCAAGAGATGGAGCTCACCCCTTGCAAACTCAAATAAACAAGTACAGTACGTACTTAAAAATTAGTAAAGTATTCCCTTATTTAGTTTAATAGTTTGTTACTGAAAATGGTTCTGCAACAAAATGCATTCTGTTTGCTGATCTTTTCTTTCTTTACCCTTCTTCAGCCCTCTGACTAATACTTTTATTAGCTCCACACCTTCTCCTAATTTTCACACTCCGAATTTTCTGCATAATATTCACACCACACATTGCCCTTAGACAGGACATCTCCACTGCCTCCAACCACCTCTGGACTTCAACAGAAGTCCAGAGGTCATACTGCAGCTTTATACATCATTAGTAAGGCCTCACCCAGATTATGCAGCTCAATTCTGGTCTCCATATTACAGAATGGACATAAATTCGTTAGAAAACATTCAGTGTAGGATGACTAAATTAATACATAGCATTAGAAGTCTTCCCTATGAAGAAAGATTGAAGACTCTTAAATTACATTCACTTGTTAGAAGAAGAATGAGGGGAGACATGATCGAAGTGTATAAGTGGAAGATGGGTAATAATAAAGGGGATATTAATAAGGTTTTGAGGATGTCTCTCCAAGAGAGAACCCGCAGTAATGGATTTAAATTAGAGAAGTTTAGATTTAGAAAGGACATAGGAAAGTATTGGTTTGGAAATAGGGTAGCCGATGAGTGGAACAGTCTGCCTAGTTGGGTTATTGAGGCTAGGACTATGGATAGTTTCAAATTTAGGTTAGATAAATATACGAGTGTGAGGGGTTGGATTTGATTGGGACTTGCAAATGAGTGGATAGAGTTTTTTTTTTTTTTCTATTATCACACAGGCCGATTCCCACCAAGGCAGGGTGGCCCGAAAAAGAAAAACTTTCACCATCATTCACTCCATCACTGTCTTGTCAGAAGGGTGCTTTACACTACAGTTTTTAAACTGCAACATTAACACCCCTCCTTCAGAGTGCAGGCACTGTGCTTCCCATCTCCAGGACTCAAGTTCGGCCCGCCGGTTTCCCTGAACCCCTTCATAAATGTTACTTTGCTCACACTCCAACAGCACGTCAAGTATTAAAAACCATTTGTCTCCATTCACTCCTATCAAACACGCTCACGCATGCCTGCTGGAAGTCCAAGCCCCTCGCACACAAAACCTCCTTTACCCCCTCCCTCCAACCTTTCCTAGGCCGACCCCTACCCCGCCTTCCTTCCACTACAGACTGATACACTCTTGAAGTCATTCTGTTTCGCTCCATTCTCTCTACATGTCCGAACCACCTCAACAACCCTTCCTCAGCCCTCTGGACAACAGTTTTGGTAATCCCGCACCTCCTCCTAACTTCCAAACTATGGATTCTCTGCATTATATTCACACCACACATTGCCCTCAGACATGACATCTCCACTGCCTCCAGCCTTCTCCTTTTATAGACCCATCTGCTGACACGTCCACTCCCAAATATCTGAATACATTCACCTCCTCCATACTCTCTCCCTCCAATCTGATATCCAATCTTTCATCACCTAATCTTTTTGTTATCCTCATAACCTTACTCTTTCCTGTATTCACTTTTAATTTTCTTCTTTTGCATTATTTTATTTTATTATCACACCGGCCGATTCCCACCAAGGCAGGGTGGCCCGAAAAAGAAAAACTTTCACCATCATTCACTCCATCACTGTCTTGCCAGAAGGGTGCTTTACACTACAGTTTTTAAACTGCAACATTAACACCCCTCCTTCAGAGTGCAGGCACTGTACTTCCCATCTCCAGGACTCAAGTCCGGCCTGCCGGTTTCCCTGAATCCCTTCATAAATGTTACTTTGCTCACACTCCAACAGCACGTCAAGTATTAAAAACCATTTGTCTCCATTCACTCCTATCAAACACGCTCACGCATGCCTGCTGGAAGTCCAAGCCCCTCGCACACAAAACCTCTTTACCCCCTCCCTCCAACCCTTCCTAGGCCGACCCCTACCCCGCCTTCTTCCACTACAGACTGATACACTCTTGAAGTCATTCTGTTTCGCTCCATTCTCTCTACATGTCCGAACCACCTCAACAACCCTTCCTCAGCCCTCTGGACAACAGTTTGGTAATCCCGCACCTCCTCCTAACTTCCAAACTACGAATTCTCTGCATTATATTCACACCACACATTGCCCTCAGACATGACATCTCCACTGCCTCCAGCCTTCTCCTCGCTGCAACATTCATCACCCACGCTTCACACCCATATAAGAGCGTTGGTAAACTATACTCTCATACATTCCCCTCTTTGCCTCCAAGGACAAGTTCTTTGTCTCCACAGACTCCTAAGTGCACCACTCATCTCTTTTTCCCTCATCAATTCTATGATTCACCTCATCTTTCATAGACCCATCCGCTGACACGTCCACTCCCAAATATCTGAATACGTTCACCTCCTCCATACTCTCTCCCTCCAATCTGATATTCAATCTTTCATCACCTAATCATTTTTGTTATCCTCATAACCTTACTCTTTCCTGTATTCACCTTTAATTTTCTTCTTTGCACACCCTACCAAATTCATCCACCAATCTCTGCAACTATTCTCTTCAGAATCTCCCAAGAGCACAGTGTCATCAGCAAAGAGCAGCTGTGACAACTCCCACTTTGTGTGTGATTCTTTATCTTTTAACTCCACGCCTCTTGCCAAGACCCTCGCATTTACTTCTCTTACAACCCCATCTATAAATATATTAAACAACCACGGTGACATCACACATCCTTGTCTAAGGCCTACTTTTACTGGGAAAAAATTTCCCCCTTTCCTACATACTCTAACTTGAGCCTCACTATCCTCGTAAAAACTCTTCACTGCTTTCAGTAACCTACCTCCTACACCATACACTTGCAACATCTGCCACATTGCCCCCCTATCCACCCTGTCATACGCCTTTTCCAAATCCATAAATGCCACAAAGACCTCTTTAGCCTTATCTAAAATACTGTTCACTTATATGTTTCACTGTAAACACCTGGTCCCACACACCCCCTACCTTTCCTAAAGCCTCCTTGTTTCATCTGCTATCCTATTCTCCCGTCTTACTCTTAATTCTTTCAATAATAACTCTACCATACACTTTACCAGGTATACTCAACAGACTTCTCCCCCTATAATTTTTGCACTCTCTTTTGTCCCCTTTGCCTTTATACAAAGGAACTATGCATGCCCTCTGCTAATCCCTAGGTACCTTACCCTCTTCCATACATTTATTAAATAATCACACCAACCACTCCAAAACTATATCCCCACCTGCTTTTAACATTTCTATCTTTATCCCATCAATCCCGGCTGCCTTACCCCCTTTCATTTTACCTACTGCCTCACGAACTTCCCCCACACTCACAACTGGCTCTTCCTCACTCCTACAGGATGTTATTCCTCCTTGCCCTATACACGAAATCACAGCTTCCCAATCTTTATCAGAGATTATTTCTTGGGTAGCATTGAAAATTGGGTTGGGCAAATGTTTTGTTAGTGGGATGGATTGTAAAGGACCTGCCTAGTATGGGCCAACAGGCCTGCTGTAGTGATCCTCCTTTCTTATGTTCTTATGTACCTCCTCGCTGCAGCATTTACAACCCAAGCTTCACACCCATATAAGAGTGTTGGTACTACTATACTTTCATACATTCCCTTCATTGCCTCCATAGATAGCATTTTTTTGTCTCCACCTATACCTCAATGCACCACTCACCTTTTTTCCTTCATCAATTCTATGATTAACCTCATCCTTAATAAATCCATCTGCTGACACGTCAGCTCCCAATATCTGAAAACTTTCACTTCTTCCATAGTCCTCCTTCCCAATGTGATATCCAATTTTTCTTTATCTAAATCAGTTGATACCTTCATCATCTTACTCTTTTCTATGTTCACTTTCAACTTCCTACCTTTACACACTCCCAAACTCGTCTACTTACCTTTGCAATTTTTCTTTAGAATCTCCCATAAGCACAGTATCATCAGCAAAAAGTAACTGTGTCAGTTTCCATTTTGTATTGGATTCCCCATAATTTAATCCTACCCCTATCCCCAACACCCTAGCAATTATTTCTTGTACAACCCCATCTATAAATACAGTGGACCCCCGCATAACGATCACCTCCGAATGCGACCAATTATGTAAGTGTATTTATGTAAGTGCGTTTGTACGTGTATGTTTGGGGGTCTGAAATGGACTAATCTACTTCACAATATTCCTTATGGGAACAAATTCGGTCAGTACTGGCACCTGAACATACTTCTGGAGTGAAAAAATGTCGTTAACCGGGGGTCCACTGTATATTAACCAACCATGGTGACATTACACATCCCTGTCTAAGACCTACTTTTACTGGGAAGTAATCTTCTCTTCTACACACCCTAACCTGAGCCTCACTATCCTCATAAAAACTCTTTACAGCATATAGTAACTTACTATCTATTCCATATACTTGCAACATCTGCCACATTGCTCCCCTATCCACTCTATCATATGCCTTTTCTAAATCCATAAATGCAATGAAAACTTCCCTACTTTTATCTAAATACTGTTCACATATGTGCTTCAATGTAAACAATTAATCTACTCATCCCCTACCCATTTTAAAGCCTCCTTGCTCATCCGCAATCCTTCTCTCTGTCTTACCTCTAATTCTTTCAATAATAACCC